TCCTGGCACACACAGCGCAGTGGCAAATAAAAGACCCTGCATCAAAAAGGTAGGAGGTAAGAACCACTATACCCGAGGTTATCCTCTGACCCCCCGCATACACACATACATTCACATATTATACATAAATACATCATACATGCACACATACAAATACACAAAATAAAATTAAGAAGTAGAGAAAAGTTGAGGAAAGGGGAGAGAAGAGGGGTAGCTGCCATTCTAATTAATTTCTGTGGGGAGGTGGGTGTTGTTACCTTTTTAGAGCTAGGAAGAATGCTCAGAAAAGCTGAGGTTCCAGGTTACCTGAGGGGAAGAGCTGGGATTCAGAACTAGGCTAGGGTACCCTCAGTGCTTTTTCACTGTTGTGCTGATCAGGAGTAACAAGCACAGTAAAGACCCAAAAAGGAAGAGAGAACAAAGGGTAAAGCATGTGGGTGAGTGGTAAAACTACAGCGGTCATTTATGTTATGAAACAAAAGGCAGAGTTTAGGGTGGATTTTTTGTTTTGGTTTGGGGTCCTTTTTGTTTGTAGGTTGGTTTTTGGTTTTTTTTGAGACAGTCTCCCTGAAGCCCCAGCTGGCCTAGAACTCACTATGTGACCGAAGATTTGACTGCCTCTACCTCCCGAGTGCTGAGATTAAAGATGTGTCAGGTATTTTTGGTTGTTTGTTCTTTAGTCTTTTTGTGGTGCTGGGGATCAAGCCCAAGGCTCTACCACTGAGCTAACCCCAACCCTAAAAGGCAGGTTTTAATGGGCAGCAGTGAGGGGATGATATTTTTTTTCCTTTCTCTCTTCTCTAGATTTTCTCTAAGGTAATATTAACTTCTTGTTTTTACTGATATGAAAAATAACACTGAAACTGCCTGTATCTCTCTCCGAACTGTGAGCAGCAAGAAAAAGGCAAAAGGTTCTACTCACAGGGTCCCTTCAAAGGGGAGTGAAGAATGGGTACAGGAGAGGACAGGGCCCAGCTCCTGCAGCAACCATACACAGCATCGTGGGCTGCAGGAGGCTCAAGATTTACCAAAGGAAGTCAGAGCATGTGTGTGTGCCCATGTGTTTCTCTCTCTCTCTCTCTCTCTCTCTCTTTCTGTGTGTGTGTGACAGTGATTTCTGCAAAGGTACCTCAAGGACAGACAGCCTGGCCCTGCAGTTTCTCTGCTTCATCTACAACAGCTATATAGACTATGAGCAGTTTCAAAAGCTGGACACCACTGCTCTCTCTACAATGAACATTCTACATCACAAGGCAGGAAGAGAGGCTGGATCTGAGGATGCAAAAGAATTAGCCAGAGCAGCTTTGGCTGCAGTGAGGCTGGAGTGCCCAGACCACAATACGGTGGGAAATCCTCTCTGGTTTCTTGCTACTCTACATGGTCAGCTGTCCTCAGTTTCTACAGGCACTTTCTTAGGAAGCTCTATCTGGCCACAGTAGAGAAGTGGGATGCTCTCATGGCTCTGGCTCAGGTGAGAGGAGTACTGAAAGTCCTAATTACATAATCCCAACCAAAACAAAAACTAAGGGACTCCGTTTTTGTAGAGAACTTGTCTGTGATCTTCCCTCCCCAGGACAAAGTACTTTTCTTCTCTGTGACACTTGTCAATCTGAATTCATAGATATAATCAAGACTGTGGGAAGCCACTCGTGTCCAGTTGGAGAGCCATTTCCAGAAAGCAACTGTGGTTTAGGAATGAGTGAATTGTGAGGTGGCAGCAGGGGTGACGTGGCTGGAGAAAAAAAAAAAAAGTAGTTTAAAATGAGTGGGGTTTCATGCGCATATAACCCCAGCATTCGGGAGGCTGAGGCAGGACTATGAAGAAGAGTTGTGGGCCAGCTTGGGATATATAGTGAGACTTGTGAAGAAGGAAAAAGAGAAAGAGAAAGAAGAGGAAGAGGAAGAGGAGGATGGGAGGGGAGGAGGAGGAGGGGGAGAAAGAGGAGGAAGAGGAGAAAAAAGCTGTTCAGTGGTCCATAGTTAGCAAGGTCAAGGTAATACATGGTGTAGGCTGGGGTGAGGGCAGATTCAAATTGGCATGTGCAAGAGCTGGCAGACAAGATAGGAGAAGCAAAAAGCACCAAGAGGAATGGAAAGGGACAGGCTCTTACACGCCCTGTCTTGCAAGTGTAGACCTCTTGTGATGCTCTTGACCCTGTGCCTGGCTTTTGAGGCTCACAACAAACCTAAGCAGTAGATGGGTCTTTTACCATTTTATAAAGGAATATAATTCAGAGGCATGGCCCTGCTTGCTTAAGGCTACACTGCTATGAACTGGCTTTTGGATTGGGATGGGCTGACCCCAGGACTAGGATTCCTTCGGTTTCGGATTCGACAGTGTCCTCTGGCAAAGACAAGAGGCCCTTGGTCTTCTATGGACCAAAAGAAGACAGACTGAGCCATACAAGTCAACTGAGTTGTGAAGAGCAGAGGAAAAGTAGGGAGGGGAGAAGAGGGGGAATAAAACTCTGTCTGGAGCAGGCAAGGTACAAGGACACAGTTTGAGGATCCAAGATTACAATGGATCAAGTCATTGAGGTAGATGGGCAAAGGTCACCTTTACCTAAAGCTCTTAGGTTGCTTCTGGTTCCATTTGTTCTTACTGTCTATCAGCTAACAAATCTCCTGATGGTATCTTCCTAATACATATCTACCTGAGACATTAGGGGGAGGGATAGGCAAAGAGAGCATCACTGAACCTTACTCTACCTATGCCATCCTGGACAAATTGCTTGGAAAATTAGCAGAAAGAATATATATATATATATATTTTTTGAGATGCTTCTCCCTATGTAGATAGTCTGTCCCTATATAGTTCTGGCTGGCCTGGAACTCACTAGGGAGCCAAGGCTCTCCTCTAACTTTCAGTGAGACTTTTACCCCTGCATCTAGAATGCTGGGATATAGGCCCCCCCCATTCCCCCAGCTCCTACTCATCCTTTTTTATCACTCTATTGACTTCTAGGGAAAGGGCGATTGCTGTATCACCTGGTATCACCTGGCTCTCTTCACCAAGTTAAGACCACACCAAATGCAGGCCCCTCCCCTTGAAGAGGAGGTTCCCCAGCACACCTCCTGAGACCAGACTTTGCACAGGGCCTGTCTCCCACCCAGCACTAAGGGGACTTTCCTGTGCTGGAGACAACTACCCAGAGGAGCCCTTCATCACAGTCTTTCTATGAATCACTGAGGGCAAGTCCCTGTTCTGTTTGCATCTGGGGAAATAAAAACATTATTAAAGAGTAATGAAAATTTGTGGCACATCTGAAAATAGTACACAGCAAGGCAGGCTCCCCAGTTCATCCTTCTGTTCTAAGAGCTTTTCCTTGATTTGCTACATCCAAGGGAACCAGACCAGAACCCCCCTCCCCCTGCTGACTCTCAGATGGTCTGAATAAGTTACCAAATTATCTACTAAATGCAATGCAGTGACCCAGAAGAACCAGGATTCCTAATTCTGGCCCATTCTGACTGGCCTGTCCTAACTCCTTCCCCACTGAAGGTACCCCTGCAGTCATATGCTTTTGTCAAATGATCTGCAGCTTCAGGCTGCTCACTCTGCAGAAAAGAATTGGGGGGGGGCAGAGTAAAAGAAGTATATGGCTCTTTCCTGGGAACCTTACAGTCTCCTAGCTTGTAAAGCACAAGTCCCTGGTTATTTCCCCTCAGAGTCTCCAACAGTTATCTGTCCAGCCTCTAAAGTTAAGCCTCCCCTCCCCCATTAGGTTCACCCAAGAGAATTATTACTTGCCGAGGGACCTGCTGATGTCTCCACTGGGATCAGAAGTTTGGATGTGTAATCAACTGGGCAGGGAAGGACATACATGTGAAAGTTGAGTCTTAGCCTTTGAAATAAGGAGGCCCACCAACTGCTGCGACTTTCCAGCACACTCTCAGCTTCCTCTGCAATAACAAACTTTGTGACTCATGGTCTGTTCAAGGAGGCAGCCAGCAGCCTTAGAGATGGGTTAAATTGGGAACACACTCTTCTAGATCACTCAATCCTCAGGTGCAGCCTGAGCCCCTACCCTGCAATAGGAAAGTTCTTTGGCTGGCCCCAGAATAGCTACCAGAGACCTGATTTCTGATGTACTATGTCCATAGGAACGAACACACACACACACGCAGGCACTTATAGTCTCTACAAGGCAGTCCATTTCTAGACTGGTCCAGATCTCTAGTGCTCCACTCCTCCAAGCTGTAATGTAGGACCGAAGCAGCTCTTCTCACCCACACTTCCTGTAGAACCTGAGGAATTCTTGGCAAATGAGCAAGCAGGACCGTGCACAGCGAGGGTCTTAGAACTGTTGCACATCAGTGGGGGCGGTGGCTGTGGAACCCAGAGAGGTCAGGGCTCCGCTGCACCCTTTAAGCAGCGACTCCTCCCTTCAGCTCTGCGGAGGGCTAATCTGGAAGTTGGGGAGCCTGGATCTCACCCGCAGGCTGGCAGCCGGGGCAAGCAGAGGCCAAGTTCACCCAGGGCAGAGAGATGGGACTCCCAGCTCTGGCTCGCTGCTCCGGGACTGCTGCACTGCCCGCGCCGCCTCCCACATCCTTGCAGCCAGGCAGAAGGCCGGCAGCAAGCACCTCCACTCCACCGCGGACCAGTTTCGCGCATCAAACTCCCAAGCACAAGCTTCTTTGTTAATTCTGCAAAACCGTCACACGACCGTCTCCACCAACACTCCCTGTTGGCTGGGTTCCGGAGATACCCGCTTTCCCCAAAGCAAGGCAGCTCGGGACCACCGCGACCTACCACCGCCCCTAGAGTCTACACACGCCGGGCCCGAAGGACCTCGGAGGACCAGAGAGTCCCCGAGGCATCTTTGTCCTCCAGGCACAGACGCGCACACAGAGCGACTGAAACAGCCCAGCCAAGCACCGAGGCCGGGCTCTAGCTTTTGGCCGAGGGCCGCTCAGGGGAGGACAAAGGTCTGGGTCTTGGAAGTTTGCAGAGTCGGCCCCCACGGGCCCGAGCCGGGGCGGCGAGCCCTCCTTACCGTACATCCCCGCGGGGAGCTTGCCTCCCGAGAGGCCGGCGTTGCCGTGTAGCTTGCCGCCAGTCCCCGGCGGCGTCCGCCTTTCATTCACAGCCCGGGTGGAGACCGGAGCTGCAGGAGACTCGGGCGCGGCGGGAGCAGGCGCTAGGGGCCGGCGGCGGGCGGGACGGAGCCGGACGCCACCCGCCCATTCAGCGCCAGGCTGGCCCTCTGGCTCAGGTCCTGCAGGCCAGGCGGCGCGCAGGGGGCGGAGTTGTGCTATGCCACTCCCCTCCCGCTCGACCACTGGCCCGCCTCCCAGAGAACCCCGCCCCCATATCTGGCCACGCCCCCTGGGGGTGTGGAGTGCCTTTTGGCAACCTGACGCGCCCAAAGGCGGGGCAGCGGGGTCTCCCTCCCGCTACGCTCACCCGGGGGATCATCCACCCGGCCCGCCAGCTCCTATGCGAGCCCTTAGGCCGATCGCTGACATGTCCCCTAATCTGAGGACCCCCCGAAGTCAGCGGGGCTCTGGAAGCTGCGGTGCACCCCTCCCCCAGCTTTGTCCAGGATGCTCTGACCGAACCGGAGGCGCCAGGGAGCAGAAATTGGGGAATAGCCCTCCTCCCTCTATTGGCGCCCCACACTCGAGCCCAGCCCTTCGGCCCCCAGAAGCACCCCTCCCAGGCACTCTCTGGCCAGGTGCTTGCTACAAAAGAACGCCCTTCCTGGCCAGGTACGCAGGAAGTGCAACACACTCTCAACCCCCGAGTGCTGCAGGAAGCCGCCTTGATTTTCCTCTCCGCAGAATGATCAGTGCAATTTGCCAGCTTTGCTGTCAGCATCCTCTCCACCCCTGCTCCTGGGCAGCTTTCAATTCCGTCTCTCTACCTGCCCTGACCCTGTAGGAAGCCGACGCCAGGGACCGGAGCTTCCAGCCAACGCCTAGGGCTCGCCTGGAGAGCTCTTATCCTCGCCTTATATAACTTCCCTAACATCCCCCACATTTCCCTGGCCTTTCCATGTCTATTTCTTAATTTCTCCTCTTGCTCCTTGATTGAGGTTTTTCATTTTCTTTTCGACTAGTAGAAATTAGAGCAAAAAGGACTTAAAGGTAGTGCAACGCCCTTTCTTTTATTAACACTTCATTTAACCTTGAGAAGTTCATTTGTGTTCTGTTTTCTAGAGACACTAGGCTGTGAGTCTAATTGACCAGTCTTTCACCCTCTGAGTCTTGCTTCCTGCAGGACTGTTGGGAAATTCCCATTAAGCCTACAGGAAGTCTTCTGTGGGCACCCACATTTTTTTCTTTCTTTCTTTCTTTCTTTCTCAAGACAAGGATAAAACCAGAGAGACAGTTCAGCACCTGACTCTTTAAGATGGTGGTCATTGCGCCCCCAATCCATGTTTCCTGTTTCTTTCTGGCCTCAGTCCTCCAGAACCCCCCCCCATATACTTTCTTCCTATTTCCAAGTTTTGTTCTTTCTCCTTTATTTCTTTATCTCTCCATAGCATGGAGCCCCAGAGGTTCCTTGAAAGCCTTGAAAAGGTTCTGGGAGCTCACACTTGGTTTGGGTTTTTTTCTTGTAGCACTGGGCATTGAACTAAGGTCTTGTACATGCTAGGCCGGTGCTCTACCACTAAGCTACATCCCCAGGCTGGAGCTCATATTTAGTCTAGACCCTCCAGTGACTTAGCCAAGAAGCTCTTTCTCTGTCCTCTAACTTTAGTATTGCCAGTGCATAATGGCTTCAAGGTCTGGCAAGATTCAGACCTGAATCATGGAAGGAGAAAGAATTTAGGGCCTAGCTTGATCTGGGCACTGGAACATATCACCACCCTACCACACTACTCAACACAAAATATACTCAGAAGCACTGGTGTCTACAACACAGAAGGAAGCACCTAGGCTGTCTTCAAGAATGAGGTGTCTATCAGAGACACTAGAGGCAAGTTATGAAGACTCGTGATGAGAAACAACATGATCAGTGCTTCGGGAGAGGCACAGACTTCTGTACAGATGCTTAGGGCTCATCCGTGAATTCATTGTTTTTATTAAATATTTATTGATCACTCCATAGTGTGTGCTAAATCTGGAGGTAATATAGATAATTCTAGCCCAGAGGAATGGTTTTGCAATGGTCAGAGGTATAGCAGAGTGAGGAAATGTGGCTTGCAATCCTCACTGGTTGGCACAGAGCTGAGAAGGGCAGAAATAGGCAGTTAGGCTGGAAAGGTAGGCTTGAGCCTGATAGGAGGATCTTGAGTGTCCAACCCAAAGGCCTGCATATCAACTCTAGGGGTAACCGATTTAGCAAATAAAAAGGCAGATGCCCAAGAAATCTGAATTTCAAATAAATAAAGAATAATTTGTAACATATGCTCCATGCAATATTTGTAGTATACTTACACTAAATTTTGTTTTGCTTTGTTTTCTGAAACTCAGACTTAGAATAAATGTTTTAACTGGCAACTTTAGCTAGTGTCATGTTTTGGAGGGTAATCCTGGATCCCCATTACCATGATCCAGGCCTGGAGTAGACATCCCTTCCTGTGTTCCTAGTCTGTATTCCCAAATAAATCACATAGTATGAGATTCCTAAGGGAACAGAGGCTGGGTCACTCTGGCCAGCTTTGTATTTTTAAGGCATGAGCACAGTGTCCATAGAGGTGAGACCTTCTGCAGGCCCACAAGAGCCCATCCAAGGATTTCTCCAACTCACCATGCAAGAAGCATGAAAAGAACCCTCTAATCTCTGCACTGCTGTAGGCTCAGCAGCCAGCCTTGCCATCTGGAGTCTACATGTTCAGTGCGGAAGGGATCCCACCCATACCCAGCTTCTCTGTAATCCTAGGTAAAGTGTGCATTAGGAAAGCTATTGTCAAAATGAAAAGTAGAGATGTCACATATAAGGAAACAGACTTTGAGGGAACTGTCTCTGGCCCTGTTGGCTAGATTTTTCCTCTTGATTGAAATACCTTCATAGAGCTAATGAAACTCACAAGAAACTTATAAGATTCAGGGACTCACAAAATTTATAAGACTATGGGGGGGGGCCTCCCTAAGATTATATGATCAGTCCACAATTGCTGGGGGGAGAGGATTTTCCTTAGGCATATACAGGGACCTCCAGTGATTCAGCTTTTGTGAGTCATCACCCATGCAAGGGTGGACTTTCCAGTGATGTTCCTGCAAGTGACCCCAGCAAACTCATTGATTTACCAAGATGGACTTGGATGGAATTGTTTCCTTGGTCTATCAATGTTCTCTATCTGAGGTGAATAGAAATAGACTCAGGAGAAATAGCACAACGGGTCCACAATGTGAAACCAGAGGGCAGAACTCAAGAGTCCCAGCCTCCAGGGCAATGTGTCTATGGGGAAACACAGAGTGGGAAATCAGCTATTTAGGTGAACTGTGGAATGGAAGGAAAGTTGGAACTGGGGTAACTTTTTAAAACAGATTCTTACTTTCCCTGTAGAAATCTAAACTAATGTGACAGGCAGGATAGGAAGGAAAGTGAAGAGGAAGTCACATTCACTGAATGGCCCACAGGCAATGGGTCTGTGCCAAGTACTTTACATGGGTCCCAGTGACTTAAGATGGCACAACTTTACAATGTATGAAAGCAATACACTGTCAGTAGAAACTGTACCTGGAATTTTGATCTCTTCTCAACTTAGCAATATACAACACTCTACTCTCTCTTGATGCCAGGCAGTGGAAAGGAACCACAGCTCCCCGTCAGTCCTCAGCTCACGAAGGGAGATAAGCAATAGCCTGCAGTGTGTTGTGTTCTATTATGATGTAGGTTAGGTGGAATAAGTGCATTTGCCACTTAATTTTTTTTTTCTTGGTGTGTATGTGTGTATGGTGTGCATGCATGTATGTACGCAGGTGTATACATGTGGGCACACATGTCTGCAGGTGCATATTTATGTGTGTTCATATGAATGTGAAAACCAGAGGCTGATGTCAAATTTCTTTTTTGATTACTCTCCATCTTATTTACTGAGGCTGGGATTCTCACTTGAACCTAGAACTAGCTCATTTATCTAATCCAGATAGCCAGCTTGCTCCAGGAATCCCCTATCTTCACCTCCAAGTGCTGAGATTACTGGCTGACTGTCAGGCTCACCCAGCATTTACACAGGTTCTGGGGTGCCGAACTCTGGTACTCACATTTATGCAAGTGTTTTATCAGATAAGTCATCTTCCCAGCCCTCACGATGGTTTTATCAGGATGTGACCTCCTTCCAATCACGGAACATCTGAACTACTATTTACACTTTATAGACATACAGTTGAGATCCAGAGAGATTAGATACTTTTCCAGTAAATGGCTGAGCAGGAATTCATGCTCAGAACACTCTGCCCAAGATGATTTCTTATCAGTGTGAAGCCTTGCAGTGCACACTGATGCACAGGTAGACTGTATTGGAAATGGAATGTTTCTTCCTGGCAGTCAGATGCTCTGTGCCCCCTTCCCTCCTTTTACCTGCATTACTTCCTTTGCCTCAGTTGCACTGGCTGTCTGCACTAAACTGGATTCTCTCTTTTATACTCCTTCCTTGAGCCATCAGTTCTGGCTCCCTGGAGTGCTGGCTGGAGGCTGGGGGCCCCTTGAGACTATTGCCTAAAAAAAGATTAGTATTCTTTGGCCAAACTGTATCTTGTTCCATGTGATCACCCTATATTATATCCTTTGTTGTGACAGCTTCAATGGTCCCCTCTACCAGAGTTTCAATCTGAACCAGAGTTTCTCTGTGTCCTACAAGGAAGGCTTAGAAGTAGAAAGGAAGCTGTAGACACTGTGTACAACTCAGGAACCCTCTTCTCCATCCAGGCATCAATAGCCACATAATATCCCCAAGGCCTGTCCTTTAGCTTCTTGATGGCCAGCTTCACCCAGTCCCATCACTTAGGTGTGTCCACCCAAAGCCTCTCATCTCTTCATCTGCTGCAGTTCTGGTTCTTGCTTAAGGCACCAACCGAGAAAGCAGCAGACAGCCCTAAAGCACCACCTCACAGAACGAGGAAGAAAGAAGAAAATGACAGCCCCAGGGGATACAGCTTCAGTAAAACAAAACAAAACAAAACTTAGACCTAGAGCAGGACCCAGAAAGACCCAGAGAGGAGAAAGCCTTGGAAGGATTATCATGCAGCTGTTAGCTGTGAAGCTGAAAATAGAATCTAGGAGTCCTGACACCAGGCTGGGTGTCTTGAACCCTGGCACTTCT